GTGTGGTTCTGGGATTTTTGCTCACCGTTCTTGTGATCATTTTGACCCCACAGGGTGAGATCTTGCGTGGAGCCCCAGATCGAGGGAGATTATCAGTGGTCTTGTATGTCTTCCATTTCCTAATAATTGCTCCCACAGTTGATTTCTTCAAACCAAGCTGTTTACCTATTGCAGATTCAGTCTTCCCAGCCTGGTGCAGGTCTACAATTTTGTTTCTGGTGTCCTTTGACAGCTCTTTGGTCTTGGCCATAGTGGAGTTTGGAGTGTGACTGTTTGAGGTTGTGGGGACAGGTGTCTTTTATACTGATAACAAGTTCAAACAGGTGCCATTAAAACAGGTAACGAGTGGAGGACAGAGGAGCCTCTTAAAGAAGAAGTTACAGGTCTGTGAGAGCCAGAAATCTTGCTTGTTTGTAGGTGACCAAATACTTATTTTCCACCATAATTTGCAAATAAATTCATTAAAAATCCTACAATGTGATTTTCTGGATTTTTTTTCCTCATTTTGTCTGTCATAGTTGACGTGTACCTATGATGAAAATTACAGGCCTCTCTCATCTTTTTAAGTGGGAGAACTTGCACAATTGGTGGCTGACTAAATACTTTTTTTCCCCACTGTATATGTATATGTATTTATATGTATGTATGTGTATATGTATGTGTATGTGTATGTATATATATTTTTGCGAGGAAAAAAAAACATATGGGGGATTGGAAGTGATGCAGACAATCACATTGATGGAGGTTACAATCTATCTGCAATATTAAAGCTGATCTACCCCCCAAAATAAAATACAAAATACAAACAAACAAAAACGACGGTGAGGGCAGGTGTTCGGCAGGCAGGAGCGAAGGGCACTGTGTACTAGCATTCGACAGTACCCACATTCAAAAGTGTCACACAAGCGTGAAGATTTCGTGCTGGGGGGGGGTTCATGCAGGAACCAATGGGATGCTCAAGGCGGGGGGCGTTCTCGCAGATGTAGGAATGCCCACATGCAGGAACGTTCCGAATTGCGGGCTGCAGTTGCACACTATTGGCATGTTGCATGGTCTACATCCACACCAAAGATTATGCATATACAGGCAAGATACTTGTCTCTCCGCCCTAACAATAGGAGTAGTTGTCCACAAAGCGGCACAGCAGGCTGTCTAGCTCCCTTCTATCCTTTCTCTGGATTGGTGGATACATCTAATTATTTTCCTACATTTTTGAATATTCGATGAAGGTTGTTGACTTCAACCACCTGTATTCAACAGGAGGTTGGTGGAACCTTAATTGGGGAGAACGGGCTCGTTCTAATGACTGGACTGTGATCATGCTCTCCGTAGCCGATGTGAGTAAGACTTTTAAGCAGGTCAACATTCACAAGGCCGCAGGGCCATACGGATTACCAGGACGTGTACTCCGAGCATGTGCTGACCAACTGGCAAGTGTCTTCACTGATATTTTCAACATGTCCCTGACTGAGTCTGTAATACCAACATGTTTCAAGCAGACCACCATAGTCGCCATGCCCAAGGACACTAAGATAACCTGCATAAATGACTACCGACCCTTAGCACTGACGTCTGTAGCCATGAAGTGCTTTGAAAGGCTGGTCATGGCTCACATCAACACCATTATCCCAGAAACCCTAGACCCACTCCAATTTGCATACCGCCCCAACAGATCCACAGATGATGCAATCTCTATTGCACTCCACACTGCCCTTTCCCACCTGGACAAGAGGAACACCTATGTGAGAATGCTATTCATTGACTACAGCTCAGCGTTCAACACCATAGTGCCCTCAAAGCTCATCACTAAACTAAGGATCCTGGGACTAAACACCTCCCTCTGCAACTGGATCCTGGACATCCTGACGGGCCGCCCCCAGGTGGTAAGGGTAGGTAACAACACATCTGCCACGCTGATCCTCAACACGGGGGCCCCTCAGGGGTGCGTGCTCAGTCCCCTCCTGTACTCCCTGTTCACCCATGACTGCATGGCCAGGCACGACTCCAACACCATCATTAAGTTTGCCGACGACACAACAGTGGTAGGCCTGATCACCGACAACGATGAGACAGCCTATAGGGAGGAGGTCAGAGACCTGGCTGTGTGGTGCCAGGATAACATCCTCTCCCTCAACGTGATCAAGACAAAGGAGATGATTGTGGACTACAGGGGAAAAAAGAGGACTGAGCACGCCCCCATTCTCATCGATGGGGCTGTAGTGGAACAGGTTGAGAGCTTCAAGTTCCTTGGTGTCCACATCACCAACGAACTATCATGGTCCAAACACACCAAGACAGTCGTGAAGAGGGCACGACAAAGCCTATTCCCACTCAGGAGACTGAAAAGTTTTGGCATGGGTCCTCAGATCCTCAAAAAGTTATACAGCTGCACCATCGAGAGCATCCTGACTGGTTGCATCACCGCCTGGTATGGCAACTGCTCGGCCTCCGACCGCAAGGCACTACAGAGGGTAGTGCGTACGGCCCAGTACATCACTGGGGCCAAGCTTCCTGCCATCCAGGACCTCTATACCAGGCGGTGTCAGAGGAAGGCCCTCAAAATTGTCAAAGACTCCAGCCACCCTAGTCATAAACTGTTCTTTCTGCTACCGCACGGCAAACGGTACCGGAGCGCCAAGTCTAGGTCCAAAAGGCTTCTCAACAGCTTCTACCCCCAAGCCATAAGACTCCTGAACAGCTAATCATTGCTACCCAGACTATTTGCACTGCCCCCCCACCCCCACCCCATCTTTTTACGCTGCTGCTACTCTGTTAATTATTTATGCATAGTCACTTTAACTCTACCCACATGTACATATTACCTCAACTACCTCAACTAGCCGGTGCCCTACACATTGACTCTGCACCGGTACTCCCCTGTATATAGCCTCCCTACTGTTCTTTTATTTTACTTCTGCTCTTCTTTTCTCAACACTTTTTTGTTGTTGTTGTTTTATTTTACTTTTTTATTAAAAAATAAATGCATTGTTGGTTAAGGGCTGTAAGTAAGCATTTCACGGTAATGTCTACACCTGTTGTATTCGGCGCATGTGCGCTACATCCAGAGGGGTTCTTGCTGAATGTATGAAGATTGTGACAGCCGGTTAAATGGCGTCCCTAGACAAGGCAATACCTAGATGTATGTCTGGAGAAGTGCAGTACTATCATAAGCAGAGTTATACTTGGAATACGGAGGAGGAATGGAGGGAAAAAGAGAGAGAGGGAGGAAGAGGGTGAGCTTTAGTCAGTTAAAAATGGCGGGAAAAAGGGAGATGGTTTGTTAAATAAGAATGATAGTGTAAGCAGAGTGAGTTGAAGACAGGAGGAGAAATGGAAGTGAATGAGGGCGAAGTATCAGAGGCGGTAGGTGTGGTGAAGTTCTTGGAGCCCGAGGTTTGCACCAAGGGTCAGGATAAAGATGAGTCTGTGACAGTAGGAGTGAAGTTTTTGAAAAAAGTGTTTCCTTGCCTTTTGGCTGATCCATTTGTGGTTTCAGGGTGGGTGAAAACAGAGTTGGGTGCTGTGGAATCGGTGAGAGTAACCAGAAATAGTCTAGTGTGTTTCTGCTGGTAAGAGGGAGCAGGCGCTCCATGTTAAACGAATGGGGGCAAGAGATATGAAGTGTTTTGCTCTCAAGAAAAGGGTGCCATTGAAAGGCGTGATTACTGGGGTAGCGGTAAATGTGAAAGCTCACCAACTGAAGGGGAAGATTCCCAGTGTTTGTGATGCTCGTCGTTTGGTGCTACGCACAGGGTGGCGTGAGTGGTGAAGAGTCATTGTCTGTTCTTTTGAGTTTTGATGTTGAGTCTTTGCCCGACAAAGTGATGTTAGGATATATAAGTTATCCGGTATGAGCTTTTGTGCAGAATACATTACGTTGTTATGGGCATGTGGCACCAGTGTGTAGGAGGGGGGTTCCTAGGTGTGAGAAGTGTGCAGAAGGGCATGAGACAAAGGAATGTGTAGCATTGGGGAAAGTAGTGGTATGTGTTAATTGCCCATGGGGCTGGGGATCCGAAATGTCCGGTGCGAGAGAGGCAGGTTGAGGTTTCCAGGGTTAGAGTAGTGCATAAGTTGTCATATGCTGAGGCAGTGAAGAAAGTAGAGGAAGATGGGTCAAGGGGGAGGGATCCTGAGAGGAATGGTGTGAGTAGTAGATCTGTACCAGTACAGAGGGATAAACCAACAAGTGATATATGTTTCAGTAAGATTGGATTTTTGGCATTTATAGCAATGGTTATCAACTGTACTGCAGGGATGGAACGTAAGTCGCAGAAAATAGAAGTAGTGGTGGCAGCTGCAGAGAGGTATTTGGGTGTGCGAGACTTGACATCAGAAGAGTTACAGGGTGTGTTAAGTGGTGGTGTACGATCCTTTCAGGCTGTTGGCCTGAAGTAGGAATAAATAGATTTAAATAGTGTATGGTAGTTATTATTATTATTATTATTATTATTATTGTAATTTTTGTTTTAAAAAATTGTGAGTGTAGTGTTAGATAGTAGGGTATTTGTTGTATTTTTAATTTTTTTAAGCAAAGTATAAGGGAGTTATACTCCAGTGTAGCAACTGTAAGTCGCTCTGGATAAGAGCGTCTGCTAAATGACTAAACTGAAAATGTAGTAGGTGGCGGTAATGCAACATTTACTGGATGCCAACCGTGGTTAAACCTCATCGAAGAAGAATGCACCTCCCGTCCTGCCCCATAATGACGTGACTAGCATGCGGAAGCAAATTCAAACCTCAGGAGTGAAGACCGAAGACAGGAATCATCGGCAAAGAAGATACTTATAACGGTAAAGTAAACAAACAAAATGTTATTTGTTCTTGGCATTGATAGTTGGAAACTTGCTTCATACGTTACTAGCTGATTAACATATTTTTAACCAAATGTTATTAAGGAATACATGTTGTGCTAGCTAGCTTGCTAACTTAGCTACCGTAATTATTCTTGCTTGGTTTAACTTTATGTATTTAATGCAGGGTCTCACTTGAGGTGAAGGATGGAGACTAGGGGGACTTCCTCCAGTGGGGAGGGCGTCCTCTCCAGAATGGCCCTCAACGACAACAAGGCAGGAATGGAGGGCCTTGACAGGGACAAGATCAACAAGATAATCATGAAGTCCTCCAAGGTACCACGTTGAGAACTTCTGTCTTTGTATCCAAACACCCAAACTAACACTCGCCTAGACTCTGAGTCAATACCCTAGTTAGCTACCTTACTATAATGTAATGGCACCGGAACTGACAAACCCACTTGTGTTGAGGCCCAGTGGGTTCTCTTCTCACAGTGTAACATGGCCAGTTACTGGAGGTCATCAGCCTCTGTATTTACCTTCCTCTCCTACAGGGTTCCAGGTTCTATGAGAACGAGATGAAGAAGGAACAGCAGGTGAACCAGCGCATTGAGAGGATGATGCTGCAGAAAGCACATATCACTGAGCAACAGCTGAGCAAAGCACAAACACAGGTACAGTGCAGGCGGGCTCTATACACACACATAGGTATTATGCGACCTCTGACACACAGATACAGTAAGTGTATTTAGGTGTTATAATTTGATTGAAGCTCTGTCGCCTCTGAACGTATTGTTGCAGGTGGAGAAGATGACCTTTGACCTGGAGAGGGTTCGTGACCTGAGCCATGTCATTGTGCATGTGGACATGGATGCCTTCTACGCTGCGGTGGAGACGAGAGACTGTCCTGACCTGAAGGACAAACCCATGGCCGTGGGCTCTATGAGCATGCTGGTGAGATTCTATACAGGACTGTTCATTTGCTAGCAATGTACACTACATGGCCTAAAGTATGTGGACACCCCTTCATATTAGAGGATTCGGCTATTTCAGCCACACCCGTTGCTGACAGGTGTATAAAATCGAGCACACAGCCATGCAATCTCCATAGACAAACATTGGATGTAGAATGGCCCGTACTGAAGAGCTCAGTGACTTTCAACGTGGCACCATCATAGGATGCCACCTTTCCAACAAGTCAGTTCATCACATTTCTGCCCTGCTAGAGCTGCCCTGGTCAACTGTAAGTGTTGTTATTGTGAAGTGAAAACGTCTAGGAGCAACAACGGCTCAGTCACAAAGTGGTAGGCCACACAAGTTCACAGAACGGGGCCGCTGAGTGCTGAAGCGCATAGCGCATAAAAATCGTCTGTCCTCGGTTGCAACACTCACTACCAAGTTCCAAATTGCCTCTGGAAGCAACATCAGCACAAAAAACGTTAGTCGGGAGCTTCATGAAATGTGTTTCCATGGCCGAGCAGCCGCACACAAGCCTAATATCACCATGCGCAATGCCAAGTGTTGGCTGGAGTGGTGTCAAGCTCGCCGCCATTGGACTCTGGAGTGATGAATCACGCTTCACCATCTGGCAGTCTGACAGACGAATCTGGGTTTGGTGAATGTTACCTTCCCCAATGCATAGTGCCAACTGTAACGTTTGGTGGAGGAGGAATAATGGTCTGGGGCTGTTTTTCATGGTTCGAGCTAGGCCCCTTAGTTCCAGTGAAGGGAAATGTTAACGCTACAGCAAACAGTGACATTCTAGACGATTCTGTGCTTCTAACTTTGTGGCAACAGTTTGGGGAAGGCCCTTTCCTGTTTCAGCATGACAATGTCCCCATGCACAAAGTGAGATTCATACAGAAATGGTTTGTTGAGATCGGACACCTTTGGGATGAATTGGAACGCTGACTGCGAGCCAGGCCTAATCGCCCAACAACAGTTCCCGACCTCACTAATGCTCTTGTGGCTGAATGAAAGCAAGTCCCCGCAGCAATGTTCCAACATCTAGTGGAAAGCTTTCCCAGAAGAGTGGAGGCTGTTATTGCAGCAAAGGGGGGACCAACTCCATATTAATGCCCGTGATTTTGGAATGAGATGTTTGACGAGCAGGTGTCCACATACTTTTGGCCATGTAATGTATAATTATATATTATTATATAGTTCGTGATACCAAATGTCTCCAGTTATGTGATGTCAAAATAAGAAAGCCAAGCCTGTTGATTTTGTCGTCCTCACTACCCAGAGGGAGGTTCATATCTGCCGATCTTTCACGTATCAACTGGTTTATGGTCTTTTATCTGGATCTGAAAAATGTCCCGTTATTGCACTACAACAATTATCTCATATTGAGCCCCAGGTTATGTATCTCTACAACTTGTATCTGTTTTATCCACTCTCCTCAGACAACTTCCAACTACCATGCCAGGAAGTTTGGGGTCCGTGCCGCCATGCCTGGCTTCATCGCAAAGAAGCTCTGCCCAAACCTGGTTATTGTTCCAACCAACTTTGACAAATACAGAGCAGTGAGCGCTGAAGTAAGGATATGACACACACACACACACACACACACACACACAGTGTTTCAGTGGCCAGTGAGGCTTTTACTATATGTATAAATCCTCCCCAAACAGACATGTGTCATCCTATTCCTCTGCTAGGTCCGGGAGATCTTTGCAGACTATGACCCTCACTTTCTGCCCATGAGTCTGGACGAGGCGTACCTGGACATCAGTGAGCACCTGGAGCAGAGGAGGGTCTGGCCAGAGGCCCTGCGTACCCACCGTCTCCGGACCAAAAACACTGGGACAGCTACAGGTACATCTGTGTCAGTGCTAGGTCAGGAGTCGGTGTCTAAATACAGTGGATTACTGTGTAATAAATGTGTTATGGTCATTTGTTACGCTGTTGGATTTCTTTTTTAAACCCGTTTTGCAGTTATAGGTTACATACTGTGATAAAGTTGTCATTTGTAAGACAACTTTGAGAGTAGACTAAGTAGTTTAGATGTGATGTAAAGGCAAGGAAAGGTTATATGGTAGATATAACAAAAGGAAAGAGGGTTATTAAGAACTTAATAGCATAAGCCTCATGCAATTCTTCCTTTATTTTCTGCCGGACAGAGAAAGTACATTTGAAGGGATTACATTTACATTACATTTTAGTCATTTAGCATACGCTCTTATCCAGAGCGACTTAGTTAGTGAGTGCATAATTTTTTTTCTCCATAGAATTATGTATGTGTATTCCCTCTCTCTTTCTCTTATCTAGTTCACTTTTGCCACCTGTCAAGCATAACGAGTGACAAGGGGAGTAGAAGATAAGAGACATGGACACACAGCTGTGAATCATCTCTCATTATCTCACACCTTCTCTTGCTCTCGCTCTCTCTCGCTCTCTCTCTAGTTGATGAGCAGGGTGATGGCCAACAGGAGACGGTAGAGGGTCTGTCTCCTGTCCTGTTTGAGGACAGCCCTAGCTCCTCCTCCTCCTGCCCCTTTCTGCAGGATGCTCTTGGGGGCGGGGCTGGGGGAGACGTGGTGGTGTTTGGGACCTGTGCCGAGGAGGCGGTGAGAGAGATGCGCTTCCGCATCGAGCAGAAAACCTCACTAACTGCCAGCGCAGGTGAGAGAGACGCTGTGTGTTCATGTTCCTCGGAGGACACATTGTCCAGGGCCCATAGGGAATAGGGTGCCTTTTGGGACAGAGCTGAGGGTTACATAGTTGTGAAAATATCTCAGGGAATATTTGATATGTTACTATCCTAGTGTAACTTCATCATCCTATTCTGTATGTAGTCACATCAAGCATGTAACACATTTGCCATGGGTCTTTTTATTGGTTGTTCTTCTAGGCATTGCCCCAAACATGATGCTGGCCAAGGTGTGTAGTGATAAGAACAAACCCAACGGCCAGTACAGACTCCCCTCTAACCGACAAGCTGTCATGGTATTCATACAGGACCTGCCAGTCCGGAAGGTAGGCTGCTGTACACCTAACCTCAACCCCAAACCTAGACAGCCTATCTTAAGAGATGCTTACTCTAGGAGATTGTTTATGGACCATGTTGCTAGCTGATGGCCTACAAATAAAGATTAGTAAAGGGTGGTCTTTTGGTGTGCCAGGTATCAGGCATTGGGAAGGTGACAGAGAAGATGCTGGGAGCTCTAGGTATCACCAGCTGTGTCCATCTTGGCCAGGAGATGTCGCTGCTGGCCTTGCTGTTCTCTGAGACATCCTGGCACCACTTCCTCCACATCTCCCTGGGCTTGGGCTCCACACACATCGAGAGGTGCTGGCCGGGCAGGCAGAGGGGGGTGGGCAGGGCAGAGAGGGGCAGCTATACAGAAGATGAATCCTTAAAATGAGTTGAAGTCATCTGACTGAGTCTGTCTGTTTTTGTCTTTACTTACAGAGAAGGAGAGAGAAAAAGCATGAGCACAGAGAGGTAGTTATTTTCCTTTTCTGGCAACATACAGTGAGCTCCAAAAGTATTTGGACAGTGACACATTTTTTGTTGTTTTGGCTCTGTACTCAAGCACATAGGATTTGAAATTACAATGCCTATGAGGTTAAAGTACAGACTCAGCTTTAATTTGAGGTTTTTATAACCATATTAGATGAACCGTTAGAATTTACAGAACTTTTTGTACATAGTCTCCCCATTTTAGGGAACCAAAAGTATTTAGACAAATTCACTTATGTGTATTAAAGTAGTCAAAGGTTTAGTATTTTGTTCCATATTCCTAGCATGTAATGACTACATCAAGCTTGTGATTCTACAAACTTGTTGGATGCCGTTGCAGTTTGTTTTGGTTGTGTTTCAGATTATTTTGTGCCGAATAGAAATGAATGGTAAATAATTTGTCATTTTGGAGTCACTTTTATTCTAAAAAGACTAGAACACTTGTTTCTGAAGACTTCTAGATTAATGTGGATGCTACCATGATTATGGATCATAATGAATGAATCGTGAATAATGATGAGTGAGAAAGTTAGAGGCTCAAAGATCATATCCCCAAGACCTCTCATCATTATCAATAACGTGAGGTTAGCCATTTTGGGTGGGTATGATATTTATGACTCTAACTTTCTCACTCATCAATACATTATTTACCATTAATTTCTATTTGGCACAAAATAATCTGAAACGCAAGCAAAACAAACTGTAAATACATCCAACAAGTTTGTAGAGTCACAAGCTTCATGTAGTCATTGCGTGCTAGGAATATGGGACCAAATGCTAAACTTTTGACTACTTCAATACGCAAGTTAATTTGTCCAAATACCTTTTGGTTCCCTAAAATGGGTTGCCTGGCTACCCAGACTCCTTGCTCTGGCCAAACGCTACGCCACGCCCACGGACGTTAGTTACTTCTCCGCAATGAGTCTGGATCTGAGTACCTCCCTAACCCTTTTTAATTATTTTTTTCACCTTTATTTAACCAGGTAGGCCAGTTGAGAACAAGTTCTCATTTACAACTGCGACCTGGCCAAGATAAAGCAAAGCAGTGCGATTTAAAAACAACAACACAGAGTTACATATGGGGTAAAACAAAACATAAAGTCAAAAATACCACAGAAAATATATATACAGTGTGTGTGCAAATGTAGCAAGTTATGGAGGTAAGGCAATAAATAGGCCATAGTGCAAAATAATTACAATTAGTATTAACACTGGAATGATAGATGTGCAAGAGATGATGTGCAAATAGAGATACTGGGGTGCAAATGAGCAAAATAAATAACAATATGGGGATGAGGTAATTGAGTGGGCTAATTTCAGAAGGGCTGTGTACGGGTGCAGTGATAGGTAAGGTGCTCTGACAACTGATGCTTAAAGTTAGTGAGGGAGATAAGTGTCTCCAGCTTCAGAGATTTTTGCAGTTCGTTCAGGTCATTGGCAGCAGAGAACTGGAAGGAATGGCGGCCAAAGGAGGTGTTGGCTTTGGGGATGACCAGTGAGATATACCTGCTGGAGTGCATACTACGGGTGGGTGTTGCTATGGTGACCAATGAGCTAAGATAAGGCGGAGATTTGCCTAGCAGTGATTTATAGATGGCCTGGAGCCAGTGGGTTTGGCGACGAATATGTAGTGAGGACCAGCCAACAAGAGCATACAGGTCACAGTGGTGGGTAGTATATGGGGCTTTGGTGACAAAACGGATGGCACTGTGATAGACTACATCCAATTTGCTGAGTAGAGTGTTGGAGGCTATTTTGTAAATGACATCGCCGAAGTCAAGGATCGGTAGAATAGTCAGTTTTACGAGGGCATGTTTGGCAGCATGAGTGAAGGAGGCTTTGTTGCGAAATAGGAAGCCGATTCTAGATTTAACTTTGGATTGGAGATGCTTAATGTGAGTCTGGAAGGAGAGTTTACGGTCTAACCAGGCACCTAGGTATTTGTAGATGTCCACATACTCTAGGTCAGACCCGTCGAGAGTAGTGATTCTAGTCGGGTGGGCGGGTGCCAGCAGCGTTCAATTGAAGAGCATGCATTTACTTTTACTAGTGTTTAAGAGCAGTTGGAGGCTACGGAAGGAGTGTTGTATGGCATTGAAGCTCGTTTGGAGGTTTGTTAACACAGTGTCCAATGAAGGACCAGATGTATACAAAATGGTGTCGTCTGCGTAGAGGTGGATCTGAGAGTCACCAGCAGCAAGAGCGACATCATTGATATACACAGAGAAAATAGTTCACCGAATGCTAACACATTCGGGGCCGTCTGATTGGTCCAGAAACCGATGGGTTGAGCCAGAACACACGTGTGTAAAGTGGTGGTTTTAAAATTAGTCATTGGCTTTGATACTCTGATTGGTTAGAGATTATCCAATTGCTGACTTTGTTTTGTACAACACCCCTCGTGCCCCTCAATCGACTTCAATGATGGCAGTCTCAGACTATAGTATGTAGCGAACGACAGACTAGCGGAAGAATTTGGTGTGAGTCGTCAAGCTATAAAATGGGGGGACAATGTACAAAAGGTACTGTAATTTCTAAACGTTCATGTAAGCTTGCGAGATCAGGTGGCTTGCTAGGCTACCGATATGGATGAAAATACCCTTAAATTAAGCTGACAGTCTGCACTTTAACCTCATAGTCATTGTTTCATTTGAAATCCAAAGTGCTGGAGTTCAGAGACAAAATAACAAAAAATGTAACTTTCCAAATACTTTTGGAGCTCACTGTAAATGTGAAATAAATAGGTAAATAATGGAACATACTGTAAAACTCTCCCGACATCCAACATGTTTCTCTATCTCCTTCATTCTCTGGTAGGACATTTGGAGAGATGAGTGCATTAGAGGAGCAGTTCTCTCTGTGCAGGCAGCTGTGTCAAGACCTGGCTCAGGACCTGCAGAAGGAGGATCTCAAGGTACTCTACAGCAGTGGTTTTCAAACCTCTCCTCGGGGATCCCCAGACGTTTCACAATTGTGTTGTAGCCCTTAACTAGCTCACCTGTTTCACCTATTCAAAGGCTTGATGATTAGTTGACAAGTTGAATCAGTTGTGCTAGCTGTGGAATAGTTCAAATACATGGAACAACTGGGGGTCCCATAGGAGAGGATTGAAAAGTACAGCTCAGTTCATTACAGTACACTTTTAGTAATAGTACAGGTCATTACTAGAATAGAGGGCAGTTGTGTAGCACATTTATCCTCCTTGCTTAGAGTATATTTTCTTAAACACAAATTCACTGTCTGATAGCCTCTTGTATTCATAGTACATTTTTAAAAAATCAAACAACGATTCCCTAGTATTTGGCTTTTTGTGGCTATTGTGTGAAATGCAGAACCGTTCGACAGTACATGGAACTGTTTGCTATGGCCAGTGTTAGTATTCAGCACCATTGTGATGTGTTGGCTCCCAGAATCAATCTGTCTCTAAGAAGCATCTCACACAATTACTAGAGCGTCTGGTCCCATCCCAATCAATAGAGAGAGCTGCCTTGGCACAGCCATCACCCCCTGGCTGAGCCCTAATGTTCTTTTGATACCTGGAGGAAATGGAGAGCCATTATGGAGACTACCAGGGACTAGTGTGAGCCTCAGCCTGCCTAGGGAATAGGCTGCTTGGGGATGATCATCACGCTCCTAGGAAAATGCCTTTGACCCTTCTTCACTTAGTGTCATCTATCAGTCAAATCAATGTCTGTTTTGTCCTTTGACTCCTTCCCCAGGTCCAACCAGATGTGTCCTGTAATTCACCATGTCATTGCTCTGTGTTCTTCCAGGGCAAGACAGTGACGTTAAAGCTGAAAAATGTTAACTTTGAGGTGAAAACCAGAGCGTGGACGTTGCCGTGTGCCGTTGCTACGACTGACGAGCTCTTTGCTGTCGCTAAGGACTTGCTGAAGACTGAGATCGACAACGTCAGCCCCCAGCCACTGAGACTGAGGCTCATGGGTAATCTTAGTTTACCTTCTCTCACTGGTTTAAATGTGGTGTACCATTGGCAAAAAATACTTAATATCATCTCTCATATATGTTGTATATACCAGTAATATATTAAGTACCTTCTACTGATTCTGTTATTAATTAGTATCTTTGAACTTGAAACTTTATTAAAACAATTCAATGCAGTTTTAAGTCAACCCTTGCGTGTCTGCAGGCGTTCGAGTTTCCAGCTTCGTCAGTGCTGATGACAAGAAACCCCTGCAGAAGAGCATTGTGGGATTTCTTCAGCAAGGCGGGGCTGACTCCAGTAGCCCTTCCCAGATGTCCTCCCATAAGCCTGTGAAAGAACATCAACCTAAGCCTCCAGGCCAGACCCAGCCCTTTCCCTGCCCTTTCCTGTTACAGCAGAGCCAGGGGCAGGAGGATCACCCCTGGGTACCCAGCTGGGGAGGAGTGGAGGTGGGGAGGACTGGGGAGCAGCAGCAGTCCTTCTTCCAGAGAGCTCACACCCAGAGGCTGCGGCTGCAAGCTGAGAGAGCGGACCCATCAGAGGATGGAAAGTGGAACGGTTTAGAGACCAGACTGGGCCCAACCTCATCGGCCACCAACCCCAAAGAGAGACACCCACAGACACCCACTCAGAAGAATCCAAATACATCAGCAGAGACACACTTCTCTATGAGTGCATTCACAGCTTCTGACAACATGATACATGCACCTACAGCCAACACCACAGAGGCCCATGTGTCTACTTCATCGTGCTGGTCCACAGAGTCAGGGACAGGTAGTCTGACCTGCCCTGTATGCTTCAGGGAGGTGAACACCACAGACCTGACAGTCTTCAACAGACACATTGACCAGTGTCTCAGTGGGGTTCCTATGGAGCATAACATTCACACAGACACAGAACTAGAGCGAGGCTCCAGTGTCTGTGAGGAGGAGGTGGAGAAAGAGAGGGAGGAGGAGGTTGAGAAAGAGATGGCTGAAGAAGGAAGGAGGTGGGAGGAGGGGGTGATTGAGAAAGGTAGGGACCCACTCAGTATGTGCATGTTGGACTCATTGGGCCTTCGATTGGACTCTAGTGCAGGTGATCATACAGGACTACTTCTGTATGAGACTAGTACAACTAATATTTCACTGAACACTGTGGGCCTGAACCCTGTCTGCCTTAACACTTGTCCAAATGGAGGTGTATCTATACCTAGAGGTACAGACCCTAACATCCTGAAGGGTTCATCTCAAAGTGACTCTCGTGTTCGTCCGTTGTCCCCCGGTGGCCCTCGGCCAATGGCTACGCCGAAGCCTGAGTCACATGACCCCAGAGACCCCGCCCTCACCTGCCCGGTGTGTCAGGTGACACAGGACACCGATGACCTCACCCTCTTTAACCAACACGTTGACCTCTGTCTAAACCAGGAAATCCTGCATGAGCTTGGAGGACTGGCGTCTGTGGACCGCACCACCCACAATGCAACACCTGCTGCCCACAAAGGTCAGTGTTTCAGAGATGTTTTATTTACTGACATTGTCATTAAAATAGGTCAGGAACTTTCCCACCCTGTTTTCAATGCGTTTCCAATGCCAGTCTCATACACATTGTTTGCATGGGTCCTGTTTCTGCCTCTGTTTTTACTCAAGATGTAATCCAGGAGATTGTAAATTGAGGTTGAGGATATTTTCTTCTAAGAAATAGTGAAACTGTCCTAGTCTAAGGGTGAAATTAGAATAATTAGTTTGGCCACTGTGAGGCGAGTGGGCCTCTGTCTCTCTCAGTGACAGTGGTATTGTGGGGGCTGTGTATTGATTCCCTTTGAGAGAGAGAAGACATCTCATTTCACCCTGTGGGGCCTCCCCTGCCCTGCTCACTGCCACTGGTAAATCACTTCTTCACCCATTCAATCCTGACAATGGAAAGACGGTCTCTTCCAGTTTCCTCTTAACTATCTTGCCTGGGAGATTGCAGTCTTTATAGCTTTGAAAATAACACAAATGACTTAATATCTTGTCGGACCTAGACAGTTGTCATTCTTTTTTGTCAATGGTTTTTCCTGTTTTTTTCCCCTCCACAGAGAGAGAGCAGCCCCTGCAGAGAGCGCCACAGAAAGGCAAGAGCAAAAGGTGAGACTACATCTCCTTACACATCTCTGACTGGATGTATCCATCAGAGATTGGAGTGTCACTAAGAGAGAAGGAGAGAGAGAATTGATTAGATGTACCCATCGTTACTGACTCATGGTGTTAGCAACACCCTAGCTTTGAATTGATCAATTAACGTTGTCAATTGACTTGAAAGTCAGCACATTCACAATGGACTTAAGTAAACACAAATGTTGTGTGGTAGATTAAAACATTGACCAGAAGTTGACAAGGTTTCAGATACTGGTGCAGACAGAGAGAATCGTGCAGTAAAATGTGCTGTGTTTTGTTCTGGCTACTCTTCCAGGAGAGGCTCGTCTCCCCAGCCCCCCTCTAAGAAGGCCAAAGCCCTGGGCCCAGCTCGGAACACCATCGACAAGTTCTTTAGGTGACACACCTTAGGTGACAACACACACAAAGACCCAGAGGATCCTGAGTAGGACATCTTATTCTCAGACGGTGATGAAGACTGACTGTTACCTGGATCTCAGGTGAATGGAGTGCTGGTGACCTCACTAGAAACCATGCCTACCTACCTAGTACTTCTTGGATTGCCGGGCATTTGGATTACTTACTCAAGCATTGAAGATGCACTTTTTTCTTTCAATAATGTTTTTTTTAATGTATTTTGTGCATTCTTTAACGTCATAATGGTCATAAGTCATAAAAAATTGCTTGATTTATTTATTATACTGCTATACTTTATCATGTACTACCTGCTGCTAAATGAGGGGACTCTGTGTTTTTGTGTCTTGTGTTTTGCACTATTTTAAATGTAAAGAAGAATAAGCATTGATTAGAGTTGGTCCGACCACAACAGCCTTTTAACAAGAAGCACAATGAATGTGAAGAATAGTGGTTTGAATAGAATAACTAAACAGAATGAGATTACATTTTTTAAATACACTGAACAAAAATATAAAGTGTTGGTCTGCACGAAAAGCTTATTTCTCTCAACATTTGTGCACAGATTTGTTTACATCCCTGTTAGTGAGCATTTCTCCTTTACCATGATAATCCATCCACCTGACAGGTGTGGCATATCTAGAAGCTGAACAGCATGATTATTACACAGGTGCACCTGTGCTGGGGACAATAAAAGGCCACTCTAAAATGTGAAGTTTTTTCACACAACACAATGCCACAGATGTCTCAAGTTTTGATGGAGCATGCAATTGGCATGCTGACTGCAGGAATGTCCACCAGAGCTGTTGCCAGAGAATTGAATGTTAATTTATCTACCATAAGCCTCCTCCAACGTCGTTTTAGAGAATTTGGCAGTACGTCCAACCGGCATCACCACCGCAGACCACATGTAACCACACCAGCCCAGGACCTGCACATCTGGCTTCTTCACCTGTGGGATCGTCTGAGACCAGCCACCCGGACAGCTGATGAAACTGGGTTTGCACAACCAAAGAATTTCTGCATAAACTGTCAGAAACCGTCTCAGGGAAGCTCATCTGCATGCTCGTCGTCCTCACCAGGGTCTTGACCTGACTGCAGTTCAGAGTCGTAACTGACTTCAGTAAGCAAATGCTGACCTTCGATGGCCCTTGGCACGTTGGAGAAGTGTGCTGTTCATGGATGAATCCCGGTTTCAACTGCACCGGGCAGATGGCAGACGGTGTGTATGGCGTCATGTGGGCGAGCGGTTTGCTGATGTCAACGTTGTGAACAGAGTGCCCCATGATGGACAACAAACACAATTGCATTTTATCAATGGCAATTTGAATGTGCAGAGATACCGTGACGAGATCCTGAGGCCCATTTTTGTGCCATTCATCCAATGCTATCACCTCATGTTTCAGCGTGAAAATGCACGGCCCCATGTCTCAAGGATCTGTTCACAATTCCTGGAAGCTGAAAATGTCCCAGTTCTTCTATGGCCTGCATACTCACCAGACATGTCACCCATTGAGCATGTTTGGGATGCCCTGGATCAACGTGTAGGACAGCGTGTTCCAGTTCCCGCCATTATCCAGCAACTTCGCACAGTCATTGAAGAGGAGTGGGACAACAGCTTGATCAACTCTATGTGAAGGAAATGTGTCGCGCTGCATGAGGCAAATGGTGGTCACACCAGATACTGACTGATTTTCTGATTCACGCCCCTACCTTTAAAAAAAAAAGGTATCTGTGATGAACAGGTGCATATGTATTCCCAGTCATGTGAAATCCATAGATTAGGGCCTAATGAATTTATTTAAATTGACTGATTTCCTTATGTACTGTAACTCAGTAAAATCTTTGAAATTGTTGCATGTTGAGTTTTATATTTTTGTTCAGTGTATTTAAGTTTTGCATAACTTAAATATCTAAATTGTTTTGTAAGATTGTATTTAAATGTGCATTTAGTATTTAAGATGGAGCAATGTTCTTGTGGAAACAAAGTTACGACCACATTGTAAATTTGCTGAATGAACTGAGTTGGCAATCAATTATTCTCCTCGTTAAACTTGGTAAAGTCTGTGTCAACATTGATGAGCATTTAATGTGTGCAGTACAAATCCATTTAAACACACCTAAGGCCTCAACTACTTTTGTAGTTTTGATTGGAGCTTAGATTCATAATAATAGTATACTGAACATATAGGAGCTCAATAGTCAAATAAACATGAATCTGCACTCATACAGCTCACTACTCCAGGCTTAGAGTGTAGGTAAGGCCATGCAGGTGTTATTATGCACTCACTTTGACCAGAAGCGAGTCCGTGAAGGGTGTGGGCTTCTAGAGTAAACAGAGGTCAGCCTTCCAGCCCTGGGAATGTACATACACTGCTCCATTTCCACACCACTTTGTATTCCTTATGCAGTAAGAGCCTCAGTATCTGCTTCAGTGAAAAGGACCTGTTCCTGACCAGACTTTCTGCATTCATTCAGTAATGCTACGTGGTTGTTTGGCAAGACAAGTGTAAAGCAGAGACAGACTGGGATCCAGCCCAGGCTACAGGGAGAAGTCACCAGATATTCACCATGGAGAGAAGGTCCTTGAAGGAGAGGATGGGGGCGCAGCTGAGGAAGGAGCTGAACCTGAGCACAAACACACACAAAAACACAAAAAAAGCAGTCACGGGATTCACTGACTTTATACAGAACAAGGAGACGGAGCAGACCAACAGCTACGATAACGAAGAGATGTGTGAGTACCAGGTGTGTGCATGTGCATGTGTGTCTGTGTCCTTGTGCATGTAAATGGTTTAGTGACTGACAGCCCTGTTTAGATTTTTTTAAATTTTGTGATCAAAAACATCAGATGTTTTATTCTGTCAGTGTCAACATAACTTGAGTAAACACTGAACATTTTTACAAAAAACACATTTACTTGAAATACAGTGTAGATTCAAAGTTTGGTAACAGAATGAGTGTTTGTGCTGTTTGTGCCATCTGCACTGTTCTTCAAGTAAAATGTGTTTTTGTACAATTCTAAGTGGAAATTGTTGTATGGTTTGTTTAGCTTTGCAATCATTGGTTTTTGTTTGACATGCTTTTTAAAGTGAGAAATCGGAGTCTCAGCATCACTCTTTTACCGTGGAATTGCCTAAGGTCAAATTTAACAGAAAGAATAATAGCCTGAGGCAACAGAGACTTACTTCTGCCCTGTTTGACAGGATCATCAATTGTGTTCTTGTAATTATGGTATCAAATGTTGAGAAACATTGGTGAATATTAATTCAATGCTACAGTGAGGGAAAAAGTATTTGATCCCCTGCTGATTTTGTACGTTTGCCCACTGACAAAGAAATGATTAGTCTATAATTTTAATGGTAGGTTTATTTGAACAGTGAGAGACAGAATAACATTTAAAAAATCCAGAAAAACGCATGTCAAAAATGTTATAAATTGATTTGCATTTTAATGAGGGAAATAAGTATTTGACCCCTCTGCAAAACATGACTTAGTACTTGGTGGCAAAACCCTTGTTGGCAATCACAGAGGTCAGACGTTTCTTGTAGTTGGTCACCAGGAGGGATTTTGTCCCACTCCTCTTTGCAGATCTTCTCCAAGTCATTAAGGTTTCGAGGCTGACGTTTGGCAACTTGAACCTTCAGCTCCCTCCACAGATTTTCTATGGGATTAAGGTCTGGAGACTGGCTAGGCCACTCCAGGACCTTAATGTGCTTCTTCTTGAGCCACTCCTTTGTTGCCTTGGCCGTGTGTTTTGGGTCATTGTCATGCTGGAATACCCATCCACGACCCATTTTCAATGCCCTGGCTGAGGGAAGGAGGTTCTCACCCAAGATTTGACGGTACATGGCCCTGTCCATCGTCCCTTTGATGCGGTGAAGTTGTCCTGTCCCCTTAGCAGAAAAACACCTCCAAAGCATAATGTTTCCATCTCCATATTTGATGGTGGGGATGGTGTTCTTGGGGTCATAGGCAGCATTCCTCCTCCTCCAAACACGGCGAGTTGAGTTGATGCCAAAGAGCTCGATTTTGGTCTCATCTGACCACAACACTTTCACCCAGTTCTCCTCTGAATCATTCAGATGTTCATTGGCAAACTTCAGACGGGCATGTATATGTGCTTACTTGAGCAGGGGGACCTTGCGGGCGCTGCAGGATTTCAGTCCTTCACGGCGTAGTGTGTTACCAATTGTTTTCTTGGTGACTATGGTCCCAGCTGCCTTGAAATCATTGACAAGATCCTCCCGTGTAGTTCTGGGCTGATTCCTCACCGTTCTCATGATCATTGCAACTCCACGAGGTGAGATCTTGCATGGAGCCCCAGGCCGAGGGAGATTGACAGTTCTTTTATGTTTCTTCCATTTGCGAATAATCGCACCAACTGTTGTCACCTTCTCACCAAGCTGCTTGGCGATGGTCTTGTAGCCCATTCCAGCCTTGTGTAGGTCTACAATCCTGTCCCTGACATCCTAGGAGAGCTCTTTGGTCTTGGCCATGGTGGAGAGTTTGGAATCTGATTGATTGATTGCTTCTGTGGACAGGTGTCTTTTATACAGGTAACAAGCTGAGATTAGGAGCACTCCCTTTAAGAGTGTGCTCCTAATCTCAGCTTGTTACCTGTATAAAAGACACCTGGGAGCCAGAAATCTTTCTGATTTGAGAGGGGGTCAAATACTTATTTCCCTCATTAAAATGCAAATCAATTTATAACATTTTTGACATGCGTTTTTCTTGATTTTTTTGTTGTTAACAGTGTCTCACTGTTCAAATAAACCTACCATTAAAATTATAGACTGATCATTTCTTTGTCAGTGGGCAAACGTACAAAATCAGCAGGGGATCAAATACTTTTTTCCCTCACTGTAGCAAATTCTTCCATAGACCAAAGCAAGCAATGAATATCCTTATCCTCTCAATTATAATGGCTGTGCATGGATTCTGTTGTGATAATATACTGTAGAAATGATAATGCTCTTGACCAAATCCCTGATCATTCCTATGGTTGAATCCATGTTGGAAAACCTTAGGCATGTTAGGCTTACCCTGAATCTGTCATGGGTAATGGTTTGACTGGATGTGAACACCCAGTGTGCAAAGAGCTGTGTTTGTATAGGCCACACACACACCTTAACAATTCCACCCTCATACTAGTCATAATAACTCAAATTTCACACACCCATTTTCTCAGAAGAAAAACATGATGTCTTACTTGTTGTGAAGCACCTTGTGTGTCTGTTGTGTGTTTGCAGTGCTGGAGCTAGAGAAGGATTATATTGAAGCAGCGAAGATAAATGATGTACAGACCATGAAGCTTCTGGGGAGGGCAGTCAAGGTCGACGCAAAGAACTTGGTGAGTCAGTCCTCATATCCATAAGAACATCTTCTCCACACTGCAGTTAGTGGGACTACAGGAAACGATCAGATACTATTGCTGTTACTTTTTTATTAGAGCCATGTATTCTGTTCTGTGTCACTTGTTAGAATAACTTGTCCCATGCGTTGACCCTAGCATGATCGCACTGCCCTGCACTATGCAGTTGCTGGAAAAAACATAGAGGCCGTCCAAGTCCTCCTTCAGCGCAGAGCAAATATCAATCAAGAGGACAAGGTAGGAAGACACAACACTTTTCCAGTGTTACTGATGGTGACATTTAAAGCTTGTCCTCTTCAACAAACACTCAGACGTGGAGAGAATGGTCATGGTTTGTCAAAATTAAACTATTTCTCTCTCCCCCTGTCTCTTTCATACATACTCACACAGCATGGAGTGACAGCCATCCACCTGGCTGCCTGGTTTGGGAGTCTGCCCATCCTGAAGTTGCTTGTGCAGGGTGGTGCTGACCAGAAGGTTGAGAATGCGGTAGGGAACCTCTGTTTAAAAACATCTTCCTATTCACGAAGGCCTTGAATGTGTCTCAGAAATCCCTTTCCTCGTCCTGCTGCTCAGACCTAAGCTGTTCTCTGACATCTCAGCCATCTGGGATATAAATTACAATAATCAACCATCAAGCCAATTTCTCCATAACCATTGGAGAATCCAATATGTCAAGTTGTCATGTATGGAGATGGTGAGTTGTATTCTCTCTTCTCAGCTGGGAATGAACATCATGCACTGTGCTGCCATCAACAACCACACTGACATAATGACATTCATTATCTACGACCTGAGGATGAAAGAGCTGGACAAAGAGGACCTGGTAACTACATATACATACAGTATCAGTAACCATTGCATCCATTTCAAATATTGATTGGGCTGCCTTAGTTCAATAAGCTGAGCCTTTTTCTTCCTGTCCTCCCATCCCCCACCCTTTCTCTCTCAGTCTGGACACAGGGCGTTTGCGTTGGCAGCAGAGCATGGCTCTGTGGAGATGCTGCAGATGTTGATGGAGGAGGCATACAATATGGCCACCATGGAGGAAGACCAGGTGTGTCTATGTATTACACCGTTAAGAGGCTGTATGAGTGTTCCACTGTTTCTTCCTCTATTTCCCCTTCCTGTTCACTGTGTTTCTCTCCCTTCCTCCTGCTTTTCCTCTTCCTCTAAATGCTAGAATGGGGACACACCTCTGCACTTGGCTGCCAGCAATGGCCACTTGGACGTTGTCCAGATACTGCTGGAGAGCTTTGATACTCGCGATGAAGTCAATACGGTAGAGTCCCACTGTAAACGCTGTCTGGAGCTGTTTGATTCTGATGAAGGCCATTGAAGGCCGAAACTTTCATATTTTAACCTTACTTAAATAAAACAAATAATATTTCATGGTGAGCGAGTGTTGCGCCTTTTCTTTTTCAATGGAGCTGTTTGCTCAATGGCTACACCTTGCAGTAGCTGCTTTAGGTCAATGGCTGATAAATGACTGACGTATTCATGGCAGGCTGGGGAGACGGCTCTGTACCTGGCTGCTGGTGCCGCCCATGAGGACTGTGTACAGGCTCTGTTGGAGGCAGGCTGTGACCCAAACATTGTCACCATGGTACGCCTGCAAAGACAAACCACACACTCCAACTATTCACTAAAATGGTCACCACCAGGCATAGTTACTAAATCACATCCAGTTTATTCTACTTCAGTACTTTGCCTACTAATAGACTCCTAGACATCTCTATTCAATGGGAACCGCTCCTCTCCCCTCTTAGGACCAAAGCAGTGCTCTACACCCTGTCTCAGAGAAGGGCCACACATCGTTGGTGAGACTCCTCATAGAGAACTCGGCCCAGGTGGACTTACAAAACCAGGTGAGAGAGTGAGCATAGTGAACTGGTACTACGTCTTGGTCAACCATGAATAAAGCCAACCTGTTATCTGTGTAATTACTCAGTAGTCCGTAGTATGACCTGACATCAGAGAGTTTCTATATAATGGTCCATTTTGGTTGTGTCTCTATTGGCAGCACCTCCAGGCTCCTCTCTACCTGGCAGTGAAGAACTGTCACATCCCTGTCATCCACACACTGCTGGAGGCTGGCTGCAACGTCAACGTCACTGATCACGTATGTACAACACGTGCACTCAGTCCACTTGTAAAAGAGTGCACTCAGTCCACATCAATGTTATAATTAATTAGTTGCGTCCCAAATGGCACCCTATTCTCTGCATAGTGCACTACTTTTCCGAGAGTCCCAGGCCCTGTCAAAAGTAGTGCACTATGTAGGAATAGGGTGCCATTTGGGACAGAGACATTGTAATGGTTGAAGTTATGGGTTTGGTAATCTGACCATAGATCTGTGGTTAAGGGCAACTTATACCTTGAGCTCCTGTCTGTCCTCCTCAGAGGTCCCAGACTGTCCTGCATGTAGCCGCAGAGCTGGCCAGAGTGGACATTGTTGAGATGCTTCTGAAAGCTGGGATGGACCTGGCCCTCCAGGACAAGGTGAAACATGGACACCAAGAACGATGATCTAACCATGAATTGGCTCATTTGACCCCTCTCCTCTTCACGACAACTTCCCACTCAACACACAACTGTTTCTGTTTTGAGCAGCAGGGTAAAACAGCACTGGGTGTGGCAGCCCGAGCAGACGAGGTCATCATCGTGGACATGATCATCAAGGCAGAGAGATATTTGACATGGAGGAGGGTAATGTTAACAGAGGACCACAATGGAAATAACTAACTTCATTGTGTGTTTGTTTTTCCTCTATAGTTGTAGAACGAATGTAGAACGTGTAGCCTACTGTTATGTGAGAGACCTCCCTATAAGTGATATAGCTGTACTGTATGTGTATGATCAAATGCAGTAAATTCAATCAATCAATGAGACTAATACGTTGCTGAAGTCATCTGCTAATCAATTTACTGGAGCTGGAAATCAATGATTACATTCATCACAGATTATTAATTTCCTAAAGTCACAACTCCAGATGAATCCCTGTAATACCATTAACGCTGGCGGTGGGAAAATGATTTATGGACCTGAAATGCTTGACATCCAATTTCAGTGTCAATTTGATTTAGCGTATCTTCCAACCCTACCTGACAGTCAAAACAAGTGGCTCTGGCATTCAATAAGCATGGGCCTGCGTGTGCTTATCTCTGGACACTCACTGCTCTGTGCTCTCAGTTTGTGAAGCTTGTCCTTTCTCAGGTGACTAGATGTGATTACCCTTCCAGGCCAACACTGAGCTTAATGAGAACCTTCACAGCCAGACTCCGCTGACGTTTAAATTAGACCACCGTGCAGAGAGCAAACAGATCCGTGGCACGGCCTGGCATCTGGCCTACCGCCTGCTGAAGCCGGGCGACTGGAAGAGGCTGGCACTGCACTGGCACTTCACTGAGCAGCAGGTGGCTGCCATCGAGGAGCAGTGGACAGGTGACACACACAACACCTTTTGCTCACACTGTAGCCCAGGGGATAATCATTCACAGGAATATCAATTGAAACTCAATTTATTATCAATACCAAGTATAAAGATAAAATATTTCAATTTCTTCACTCTGCCGTCCGACTCATCCCAAACCATCTCAATTGGGTTGAGGTCGGGGGATTGTGGAGGCCAGGTCATCTGATGCAGCACTCTATCACTCTCCTTCTTGGTAAAATAGCCCTTACACAGCCTGGAGGTGTGTTGGGTCATTGTCCTGTTGAAAAGCAAATTATAGTCCCACTAAGCCCAAACCAGATGTGATGGCGTATCGCTGCAGAATGCTGTGGTAGCCATGCTGGTTAAGTGTGCCTTGAATTCTAAATAAATCACAGACAGTGTCACCAGCAAAGCACCCCCACACCATAACACCTCCTCCATGCTTTACGGTGGGAACTACACATGCGGAGATCATCCGTTCACCCACACCGCGTCTCACGAAGACACGGTGGTTGGAACCAAAAATTTCCAATTTGGACTCCAGGCCAAAGGACACATTTCCACAAGTCTAATGTCAATTTCTTGTGTTTCTTGACCCAAGCAGGTCTCTTCTTCTTATTGGTGTCCTTTAGTAGTGGTTTCTTTGCAGCAATTCGACCATGAAGGCCTGATTCACGCAGTCTCCTCTGAATAGTTGATGTTGAGATGTGTCTGTTACTTGAACTCTGTGAAGCATTTATTTGGGCTGCAATCTGAGTTGCAGTTAACTCTAATGAACTTATCCACTGCAGCAGAGGTAACTCTGGGTCTTCCTTTCCTGTGGCGGTCCTCATGAGAGCCAGTTTCATCATAGCGCTTGATGGTTTTTGCGTCTGCACTTGAAGAAACGTTCAACGTTCTTGAAATGTTCCGTATTGACTGACCTTCATGTCTTAAAGTAATGATGGACTGTCGTTTCTCTTTGCTTATTTGAGCTGTTCTTGCCATAATATGGACTTGGTCTTTTACCAAATATGTGTATTTTCTGTATACCACCCCTACCTTGTCACAACACAACTGATTGGCTCAAACGCATTAAGAAGGAAAGAAATTCCACAAATTAACTTTTAACAAGACACACCTGTTAATTGAAATCCATTCCAGGTGACTACCTTATGAAGCTGGTTGAGAGAATGTCATGAGTGAGCAAAGCTGTCATCAAGGCAAAAGGGTGGCTATTTGAAGAATCTCAAATATAAAATATATTTAGATTTGTTTAACACTTTTTTGGTTACTACATGATTCCATGTGTGTTATTTCATAGTTTTGATGTCTTCACTATTATTCTAAAATGTAGAAAATAGTCAAAATAAAGAAAAACTCTTGAATGAGTAGGTATTCTTAAACCTTTGACCGGTGGTGTAGGTAAAAGAGGGATTCTGTTTTATTGATTCTGTACTCATTTGCCATTGTTCCAAAAACAAGCCACTTGGGTGACATTACCAAGGAAAGCCTTAACTACACTAAATTAGTAATTTAAGCCTTATTTTACCAGGTAAGTGGACTCAGAACATATTCTAATTCAATGTGTTTGCTCTGTGTGTGTGTGTTTTAGGGCAGCAGAGCTACCAGGAACATGGGAACAGGATGCTGTTGATCTGGCTTCATGGGGTAGAGTTGGCCCAGAGGAGTCCTGCTAAAGAGCTCTACCAGGGTCTGCTTGCCATAGGCAACAAGACCGTAGCAGGTATGGGGTGTCCATGACCCTTACCGCATAGGAAAATATAACATTTATGTTGAAGTCATAACGGCAAATTACAGATGGGTGTTTTGTTGTTTTCCAGATAAAATACGACTGGACATAGAGGAAGGAGACGTGAAGAAATGCATCCTTTCATAAATGACATGGACATGTACGGGCACGCGTTCAGTCAACAACATAATTTTCCAAAGCAGAGCATTTGTGTAGTTATTTTTCAATGGATCTTCAGTAGTACACATTTCAGTAGTACACATTTCACTACCGGCCGTGGTGACTCCTTGCTGTCCCCAGTCCGCCTGGCCTTGCTGCTATTCCAGTTTAAACTGTTCTGCCTGCGGTTATGGAACCCCTACCTGTCCCAGACCTGCTGTTTTAAACTCTAATGATCGGCTATGAAAAGCCAACTGAGATTTATTCCTGATTATTATTTGACCATGCTTGTCACTTATGAACATTTTTGAACATCTTGGCATGGTTCTGTTATAATCTCCACCCGGCACAGCCAGAAGAGGACTGGCCACCCCTCATAGCCTGGTTCCTCTCTAGGTTTCTTCCTAGGTTTTGCCTTTCTAGGGAGTTTTTCCTAGCCACCGTGCTTCTACACCTGCATTACTAGCTGTTTGGGGTTTTAGGCTGGGTTTCTGTACAGCACTTCGAGATATTAGCTGATGTAAGAAGGGCTATATAAAATAAAATTGATTGATTGATTTATACATAGAGAAATTGTTTATTATTCTATGAGCACATTTGCCTCCAATTCATGTTTTATTCAGGTTCCATCATTCCAGCAATTTACATTAAGAGTTTATAGTGCAGACTGTGGCCAAAACATAAACATATGGCTTTGATACAGTCCTGAAAACTTGAACACAGGTGTTGTTCTCCACACATCATCAACACAAAATAATGTAAAATGTAATATCACATAAAACAGTCAGACTTTCCATAATTTAAAAACAAATAAAAATAAACCAAATATAAAAACAGTTGTCATTCACAATTTGAGAGGTAAAACTACTAGTGAAAGTCATCAAATGCTCTTTAAATAACAAGATGGTTATATCAGTCGCCATTCTCCTTTCCATTCCAGAGTGTTAGAAATATCAGATTTATTGAATGCATTTGAAAAATTATTTTCTCTAATCCTAAACGTAGTTCTCACAGAAATGGTTCAGGTCCTTCATAGTACCCTCATAAGTGTGTGTGAGAGAGGTGTAGCATATGTCTAAAATATTTGGGAATATTCAAATGTGCAGGTGTATCAGCTTGACTAAGTCATGCATGGGAAGACTACGTCTATTTCAAATCAAATCAAATCAAATTGTATTGGTCACATGCGCCGAATACAACAGGTGCAGACATTACAGTGAAATGCTTACTTACAGCCCTTAACCAACAGTGCATTTATTTTTAACAAAAAAAGTAAAAATAAAACAACAACAAAAAAAGAGCAGAAGTAAAATAAAATAACAGTAGGGAGGCTATATATACAGGGGGGTACCGGTGCAGAGTCAATGTGCGGGGGCACCGGCTAGTTGAGGTAGTTGAAGTAATATGTACATGTGGGTAGAGTTAAAGTGACTATGCATAAATAATTAACAGAGTAGCAGCAGCGTAAAAAGGATGGGGTGGGGGGGCAGTGCAAATAGTCCGGGTAGCCATGATTAGCTGTTCAGGAGTCTTATGGCTTGGGGGTAGAAGCTGTTGAGAAGTCTTTTGGACCTAGACTTGGCACTCCGGTACCGCTTGCCGTGCGGTAGCAGAGAGAACACTCTATGACTAGGGTGGCTGGAGTCTTTGACAATTTTGAGGGCCTTCCTCTGACACCGCCTGGTATAGAGGTCCTGGATGGCAGGAAGATTGGCCCCAGTGATGTACTGAGCCGTACGCACTACTCTCTGTAGTGCCTTGCGGTCGGAGGCCAAGCAGTTGCCATACCAGGCGGTGATGCAACCAGTCAGGATGCTCTCGATGGTGAGGCTGTAGAATTTTTTGACGATCTGAGGACCCATGCCAAATCTTTTCAGTCTCCTGAGGGGGAATAGGCTTTGTCGTGCCCTCTTCACGACTGTCTTGGTGTGTTTGGACCATGATAGTTCGTTGGTGATGTGGACACCAAGGAACTTGAAGCTCTCAACCTGTTCCACTACAGCCCCGTCGATGAGAATGGGGATGTGCTCAGTCCTCTTTTTTTTCCTGTAGTCCACAATCATCTCCTTTGTCTTGGTCACGTTGAGGGAGAGGTTGTTGTCCTGGCACCACACGGCCAGGTCTCTGACCTCCTCCCTATAGGCTGTCTCATCGTTGTCGGTGATCAGGCCTACCACTGTTGTGTCGTCGGCAAACTTAAGGATGGTGTTGGAGTCGTGCCTGGCCATGCAGTCATGGGTGAACAGAGAGTACAGGAGGGGACTGAGCACGCACCCCTGAGGGGCCCCCGTGTTGAGGATCAGTGTGGCAGATGTGTTGTTACCTACCCTTACCACCTGGGGGCGGCCCGTCCGGAAGTCCAGGATCCAGTTGCAGAGGGAGGTGTTTAGTCCCAGGATCCTTAGCTTAGTGATGAGCTTAGAGGGCACTATGGTGTTGAATGCTGAGCTGTAGTCAATGAATAGCATTCTCACGTAGGTGTTCCTCTTGTCCAGGTGGGAAAGGGCAGTGTGGAGTGCAATAGAGATTGCATCATCTGTGGATCTGTTGGGGCGGTATGCAAATTGGAGTGGGTCTAGGGTTTCTGGGATAATGCTGTTGATGTGAGCCATGACCAGCCTTTCAAAGCACTTCATGGCTACAGACGTCAGTGCTACGGGTCGGTAGTAATTTAGGCAGGTTATCTTAGAGTCCTTGGGCACGGGGACTATGGTGGTCTGCTTGAAACATGTTGGTATTACAGACTCAGTCAGGGACATGTTGAAAATGTCAGTGAAGACACTTACCAGTTGGTCAGCACATGCTCGGAGTACACGTCCTGGTAATCCGTCTGGCCCTGCGGCCTTGTGAATGTTGACCTGCTTAAAAGTCTTACTCACATCGGCTACGGAGAGCGTGATCACATAGTCATCCGGAACAGCTGGTGCTCTCATGCATGCTTCAGTGTTGCTTGCCTTTGCATATTAGGTGAGTGGAATGTTCCTATGTGATATGGTTTTGCATGTGTGTGTTTACTCAACCACTTTGATAGAATGTATGTGGTAGGCTGAGTGTGTGCTGGAGGAACTCTTGCTGCTGGAGGTCCCCTGGCCCTGCTGAGTGGAGGAGGAGCAGGAAAGAACTTAGCTGCTGTGGCCTGACCCACCATGAGCTGGGAGGGAGAAAAGTGAGACAGTTTGAGGTCTATCCAGCAAAGGTGCATTTCTACAGATCATAAATCTACTTGTTTGGTGATATTGATTCAACGTAAAATAGACGTTTGGTGATGATGGTGTACCTGTGTGACGCGGTGATTGCGCACCACGATGACAGCTCATGGGAGGAGCCACACCCATAACCTGGAGGTTGCCGGGAGTGTGGACGAAGCTGGGAATACAGAGGTCGGAGCGTGTCGTGACGCGAGCGGCCATGGTTTTGGAGGCTTTCTGTTGACTTGCTGTGATCACCCGTGTACTGACCTGATTCAAATTATGATCATTAAGGAACAGTCAATAAATAAACTCAGCAAAAAAAGAAACGTCCTCTCACTGTCAACTGCGTTTATTTTCAGCAAACTTAACATGTGTAAATATTTGTATGAACATAACAAGATTCAACAACTGAGACATAAACTGAACAAGTTCCACAGACATGTGACTAACAGAAATGGTATAACGTGTCCCTGAACAAAGGGGGGGTCAAAATCAAAAGTAACAGTCAGTATCTGGTGTGGCCACCAGCTGCATTAAGTACTGCAGTGCATCTCCTCCTCATGGACTGCACCAGATTTGCCAGTTCTTGCTGTGAGATGTTACCCCACTCTTCCACCAAGGCACCTGCAAGTTCCCAGACATTTCTGGGGGGAATGGCCCTAGCCCTCACCCTCCGATCCAACAGGTCCGAGACATGCTCAATGGGATTGAGATCCAGGCTCTTCGCTGGCCATGGCAGAACACTGACATTCCTGTCTTGCAGGAAATCACGCACAGAACGAGCAGTATGGCTGGTGGAATTGTCATGCTGGATGAGCCTGCAAGAAGGGTACCACATGAGGGAGGAGGATGTGTTCCCTGTAACACACAGCGTTGAGATTGCCTGCAATGACAATAAGCTCAGTCCGATGACGCCCAGACCATGACGGACCCTCCACCTCCAAATCGATCCCGCTCCAGAGTACAGGCCTCGGTGTAACGCTCATTCCTTCGACGATAAACACGAATCCGACCATCACCCCTGGTGAGAGAAAACCTCGACTCGTCAGTGAAGAGCACGTTTTGCCAGTCCTGTCTGGTCCAGCGACAGTGGGTTTGTGCCCATAGGCAACGTTGTTGCCGGTGATGTCTGGTGAGGACCAGCCTTACAACAGGCCTACAAGCCCTCAGTCCGGACAGTCTGAGCACTGATTGAGGGATTGTGCGTTCCTGGTGTAACTCGGGCAGTTGTTGTTGCCATCCTGTACCTGTCCCGCAGGTGTAATGTTCGGATGTACCGATCCTGTGCAGGTGTTGTTACACGTGGTCTGCCACTGCGAGGACGATCAGCTGTCCGTCCTGTCTCCCTGTAGCGCTGTCTTAGGCGTCTCACAGTACGGACATTGCAATTTATTGCCCTGGCCACATCTGCAGTCCTCATGCCTCCTTGCAGCATGCCAAAGGCACGTTCACGGATATGAGCAGGGACCCTGGGCATCTTTCTTTTGGTGTTTTTCAGAGTCAGTAGAAAGGCCTCTTTAGTGTCCTAAGTTTTCATAACTGTGACCTTAATTGCCTACCGTCTGTAAGCTGTTAGTGTCTTAACGACCGTTCCACAGGTGCATGTTCATTAATTGTTTATGGTTCATTGAACAAGCATGGTAAACAGTGTTTAAACCCTTTACAATGAAGATCTGTGAAGTTATTTGGATTTTTACAAATTATCTTTGAATGACAGGGTCCTGAAAAAGGGACGTTTCTTTTTTTGCTGAGTTTACATGACCTTTCACTTTGTTTGCCAAATGGTGAGGAAAAAGGTAACAGTAACCAGAGATAGGGGCTGACACCCTTTTTCCAAACACTTCTCATCATGGATTTAACAATGGTTAAAACTCCCTCTAGTCAATGATTACACCAATCCAAGGATTGTAGATCCATGACAGAAAGTGGGAGAGGGGTTGAGAATCGGGACATAGCCACAATAAGCTCCCAGTGCCATAGACCAACATAAATGCCAGTACGAACTGGTCTGTGCTCTGTGGGAGCTTGCAGTGCCATTAACCTGTCTGTGGGAGCTTGCAGTGCCATTAACCTGTCTGTGGGAGCTTGCAGTGCCCCCTGGTTGTAGGCTGCTGTGGACAACTGTGGTGGAGGGGAACACCTCGGCCCTGGAGGCTGGGGCACTGGAACCCACCTGAGAGATTGAGTGAGTGGGCAGATGTTAAGAGTGCAGGTAGAAGCCCATACACAGAGGAGATGAAGAAATTAGACAAACTGATCCACTGTAAATATAACAGGCCTATCCAATGTATCACACATTGGGTGTTTGAGGAGTCAGTATTGCACATTGTGTAGTGACAATTACACCCATATGAAATATTGTTAGTGAGAAAATGTCAAGTCTTGAGAAATAATAAATACAACGGCAGCAAATGTGACAATGTTTAATGATGGCGGAACCTGATCTGTAGTAGTAGTGAAAACCGTTGTATGCACCGTAACCAGGGTGTGTGTCAGCTTCTCACCGTCTCCTCTGCGTCACTCTGGGGCGGTGGTACAGGGGGGTCAAAGTGGAGTGGGCTGAACCGAACGGAGGCGGCGGTCCTTGGCTGGAGGTAGCCCAATGAGCCTGAGCCAGGATCGTGCCGGGGGGGCGGAGCATCTGCGGAGGGAAGACCAATAAGATCAGTCATATAATGTGTACACAGGCTTGTCCTGAAGTCAGATCAGCTTCATGACTGGACAGGTCAAAGATGACAAACAAAACATGATGCCCAATATGATCAAATCTGACCAACATAAATCACATTCTGTCATTTGCAGACGGTGGCCCTGTCAGTTGTAAAATGACACTGTATGACATTCCCGGTCATTTGAATTAATCCCCCCCCCCCCCCCCCCAAAAAAAAATAAACAACCTACAAAGCTAAATTTCTACACAGATAAATGAAACAGCAAATAGAAACACTTTTACTTTAAGCTGAACCCTAAAATCTCATATACATGCATTCGCACAATGACCAAACACGCATGCACACACACACAAACTATCAGAAGAGGTCCTTGCCCATCAGTCAATACCAGACCAAGGTTACAAATCACATTTTATTTGTCACATGCACCGAATACAACAGGTAGCCAAATAGTCCGGGTAGCCATTTGATTAGCTGTTCAGGAGTCTTATGGCTTGGGGGTAGAAGCTGTTAAGAAGCCTTTTGGACCTAGACTTGGCGCTCCGGTACCGCTTGTCGTGCGGTAGCAGAGAGAATAGTCCATGACTAGGGTGGCTGGAGTCTTTGACAATTTTTAGGGAGGGGGGTGACTAATTCACGACTGTCTTGGTATGTTTGGACCATGAAAGTTTGTTGGTGATGTGGACACCAAGAAACTCGAAGCTCTCAACCTGCTCCACTACAGCCCCGTCGATGAGAATGGGGGCGTGCTCGGTCCTCCTTTTCCTGTAGTCCACAATCATCTCCTTTGTCTTGATCACGTTGAGGGAGAGGTTGTTATCCTGGCACCACACGGCCAGGTCACTGACCTCCTCCCTATAGGCTGTCTCGTCGTTGTGGGTGATCAGGCCTACCACTGTTGTGTCGTCGGCAAACTTAATGATGGTGTTGGAGTCGTGCCTGGCCATGCAGTCATGGGTGAACAGGGAGTACAGGAGGGGACTGAGCACGCACCCCTGAGGGGCCCCCATGTTGAGGATCAGCGTGGCAGATATGTTGTTACCTACCCTTACCACCTGGGGGCGGCCCGTCAGGAAGTCCAGGATCCAGTTGCAGAGGGAGGTGTTTAGTCCCAGGGTCCTTAGCTTAGTGATGAGCTTTGAGGGCACAATGGTGTTGAACGCTGAGCTGTTGTCAATGAATAGCATTCTCACATACAGTTGAAGTCGGAAGTTTACATACACTTAGGTTGGAGTCATTAAAACTTGTTTTTCAACCACTCCACAAATTTCTTTGTAACAAACTGTAGTTTTGGCAAGTCGGTTAGGACATCTACTTTGTGCATGACACAAGTAACTTTTCCAACAATTATTTCACTTATAATTCACTGTATCACAATTCCAGTGGGTCAGAAGTTTACATACACTAAGTTGACTGTGCCTTTAAACAGCTTGGAAAATTCCAGAAAATGTTGTCATGGCTTTAGAAGCTTCTGATAGGCTAATTGACATCATTTGAGTCAATTGGAGGTGTACCTGTGGATGTATTTCAAGGCCTACCTTCAAACTCAGTGCCTCTTTGCTTGACAGCATGGGAAAATCAAAAGAAATCAGAAATCAGAAATTTGTAGACCTCCACAAGTCTGGTTCATCCTTGGGAGCAATTTCCAAACGCCTGAAGGTACCACGTTCAATAATATGCAGGTATAAACACCATGGGACCACGCAGCCGTCATACCGCTCAGGAAGGAGATGCGTTCTGTCTCCTAGAGATGAACGTACTTTGGTGCAAAAAGTGCAAATCAATCCCAGAACAACAGCAAAGGACCTTGTGAAGATGCTGGAGGAAACAGGTACAAAAGTATCTATATCCACAGTAAAACGAGTCCTATATCGACATAACCTGAAAGGCCACTCTGCAAGGAAGAAGCCACTGCTCCAAAATCGCCATAAAAAAGCCAGACTACGGTTTGCAACTGCACATGGGGACAAAGATCATACTTTTTGGAGAAATGTCCTCTGGTCTGATGAAACAAAAATAGAACTGTTTGGCCATAATGGCCATTGTTATGTTTGGAGGAAAAAGGGGGCTGCTTGCAAGCCGAAGAACAGCATCCCAACCATGAAGCATGGGGGTGGCAGTATCATGCTGTGGGGGTGCTTTGCTGCAGGAGGGACTGGTGCACTTCACAAAATAGATGGCATCATGATGAAGGAAAATTATGTGGATATATTGAAGCAACATCTTAAGACATCAGTCAGGAAGTTAAAGCTTGGTCGCAAATGGCTCTTCCAAATGGACAATGACCCCAAGCATACTTCCAAAGTTGTGGCAAAATGGCTTAAGGACAACAAAGTCAAGGTATTGGAGTGGCCATCATAAAGCCCTGACCTCAATCCTATAGAACATTTGTGGGCAGAACTGAAAAAGCATTTGCGAACAAGGAGGCCTACAAACCTGACTCAGTTACACCAGTTCTGTCAGGAGGAATGGGCCAAAATTCACCCAACTTTTCTTTTTTTGTCATTTAGCAGACGCTCTTATCCAGAGTGACTTACAGGAGCAATTAGGGTTAAGTGCCTTGCTCAAGGGCACAACGACAGATTTTTCACCTAGTCGGCTCGGGGATTAGAACCAGCGACCCTTCGGTTACTGGCACAATGCTCTTAACCACTAAGCTACCTGCCGCCTTATTGCCTTATGGCCAACTTACTGTGGGAAGCTTGTGGAAGGCTACCCGAAACGTTTGACCCAAGTTAAACAATTTAAAGGCAATGCTACCAAATACTAATTGAGTGTATGTAAACTTCTGACCCACTGGGAATGTGATGAAAGAAATAAAAGCTGAAATAAATCATTCTCTCTACTATTATTCTGACGTTTCACATTCTTAAAATAAAGTGGTGATCCTAACTGACCTAAGACAGGGGATTTTTACTAGGATTAAATGTCAGGAATTGTGAAAAACTGAGTTTAAATGTATTTGGCTAAGGTGTATGTAAACTTACGACTTCAACTGTAGGTGTTCCTTTTGTCCAGGTGGGAGAGTGCAATAGAGATTATGCAAATTGGAGTGGGTCTAGGGTTTCTGGGATAATGGTGTTTATGTGAGCCATGACCAGCCTGTATGTAGCAACCTCCACAAAGATAACCACTCAGTCAGCACATTCAAAGATTTTCCATCATCACGCCATCCAATGAACTAATGAATGAGCCAGACGAAAGAAAAAAATTACCCCTCTCCACTTCGTAAATCTAAACTGTCAAAGTGTCAGTAGCAGCAGACTGCACTCTATTGGACAACTAGTGTCTGTTTTACCGTAGCCTAGCCAATAGGCTAATAAACAATGTGTGGGTTGATCAGATCATATGACTGGGGAAGGTAGAATACACTTTTTAAAGACAAATGTTCTATGAATTAAAATGTCAGGAACAGAAGAGTTTCTTGACAGAGCCGTGTGTGTGTGTTACTAACCGTGCAGTTCGTGCGTCCCTCTCCAGTGTGGAACATGCCAAGGGCCTCCATGTTGAGGGCACACACGCCCCTGATAAAAGCCTTCTTCATGGACTCCTCATAACGCTCCCTCTCTGCCCGCAGGCTCTGGATCTCAGCCTGGGCCGCATCCACCGCTGCCACGTGCTACACACCGGGAGAGGGAAAATAAGGAGAGAGAGAGAGAGGGAAGGAGAGAAGAGGGAGGAGAAAGAGTGTGGGGGGGGAGGAGAGAGGGATTAATTAATGTATCATCGTTGTTAACCGTACTGTAATTAAAATTCAAAGGTAACATTGTGGAACGCATAAGAGCAGAGGCTAGATTGTTACTGAGGAATAAAGGTTGAAGGGAAGCTTGTTTCAAATCACTAACTCTGAACTGACCACTTAGTCTCTCTGCCATGTCTATTCTGCATTTCCTCTCTTCTCTCACTCACTGTCATAACCATCTTTCTCTGTCCCTCACTCACTCACTCTCTGTGCTAGGCCTGTGTTCTGCTCTAGCTCCATTCTTTCTCTTCACGTCTATGGTACTGCCAATAACTCTAGCCTATTCCATTCCTCTCTTTCTGCTAGGACTATGCTCTACTACATGTCTATGGATCTCTCTCTCTCAGGCCCAATCGCTGCTCTAGCTCCTCTCTTTCACTGGGCTTTGAGCCTCCATCAATTACATTTTTAGTCAATCAAGCTCACTCACTTGCTTTAGTGCAGCAGTTATTCATCAACATTATTAACCTCTCCACAAAACCTGGTTTACAGACAAACCTTCAAAAAGGTGTATTTGCCATTTAAAAAGCTGCAAAGTGTCAGGTCTGCAGTTTGGTGAGTGACAACTATTTCTATAAGACAATGTTTATTCAGTCTCTCGGTTATCCTGTTAGTGTAGCTAGCTACTGTTCTGTGCTCATGTGAAACTGTGGGTAAATTGTCTTATTTTAGTACAGAACACCCAACAAAAACAATACATTCACATTTCAGAGAGAGTGTTAGAATTACATATGATCTCTGGTTCCATGATTGGAAGTGTAGAGGCCTACTGTATGTAGCAACCTGTGTGTGTGTGTAGTGTGTGCAGCTCTTCCCTCCTTAACTCTGCCATCTTGTCCTCGTAGTCAGCTGACAGGTGCACATAGACCTCCTCTGCCTGGGTGCGGCATGCCTTCTCCACCTTCTCCTCCCCTGGACCAGGGCGTGCCAGCCTGCCCACACCTTCCTCTTCAGCTGCAGACGGTAGCTGTGGGCCTCGAGAGGGGAGGGGACACGGGGGAAAGCAGGACAGACAAAGGACAGGAGGAGAAATGTTTAGAAAGACTCAACTAAGCAGGATTCAAATGAACAAGAAACAACTTTTGATTTTCTACTCTTCAGGTATTTAGTGAAAGATTATGTATTAAATACTGTAATTGTCACATGATTGCAAATATAACTTATTTAACCCATTAATATCAGGCACCACACCAATAATACTACATGGAATAAAATAAATCATAGGTGGAAAATGTAAGTGTGAAAACATAATGGATGTTCAATGTGAAATGACATGGTACTACATGTGCCAGTTAATCATGATTAACTGATTAATCAGATTCAGGATTTGCATAAACCCGAACCCTGCTAGACTACTGTCAACGCTAAAGATACAGTTCACTAAGGATGTTATGACATTAATTTCTCAGAGGAAATAAGTGGGTGAAAGCAACTGATTCCTCGGTTAAAGTAAAAGGGGTGAAAAGTAAAATTAAAAAAATAGACATTAAGATACAGTGTGCTTTATACGCGTGTCCCGTACCCACCGCTCCCCACCTCATCCACCCCAGACCTATTCCCCTATGAGGGTGACCCCTCTCCCCCTCTCTCACCTCCTTCCTGGCCTCACTGTGCTGCAGTCTCCAGTGGGTGAAGGTCCTCATCAGCTCCAGTCTCTCCCTCTGTCTGTCCACTGTCTGGCTCAGGTTCACTATCACCTACAAGCAAAACAAGACAAGTCACACATGATGCCTCACACACCCAATTCATCATAATACTTGACTGTCTTTAAATAGGAATGACCCTACCAGTAATGTGTGTGTGTGGTGCAGGGGTTTGTGTGACGTGTGTCTAGACTGCGTACCTCGTCCTTCCTCTGGTTGGAGGTCTCGTAGGTGTGGAGCAATTCCTTCAGATTGTCCATCTTTGCAGTGAGGCCTGCTATACAGGCAGCATGCTTCTCCCTCTCCTTCCTCACCTCCAGCTTGTGCTGCTCCATGAAGGCCAGCTTCCACTTCCTCAGCTCCATCAGCACGTTGGTCTGGGGATGAGAGGAGAGAGACAGGGATGGAATGGTTTACCAAAGAGAATCAGGACACAAACCAGTCCACTTCAATGACAACACAGATACTGTAGCAGAAATGACAAATCAAGAATCAGATGAGGAATTCCTGATCAGTCAGGAAACAGCACTGATATGGACATCTGATAAGGCCTATTGGGCCAACAGAATAGATTTGTAGAACACAGCCTCATAAGTCTCTATTCTCATAACTGAGAATATATTATGTTCATCGCCAAGCAAAAATAAATCTCCAGACATTGAATAGATAGACAATAAAGAAGCAGGGCAGGGTAACCTTGGGGTTCTCGCTCCAGGTGTCTAGGAAGTTCTCCATCTTGTTCATGTTCTCCACAGAGATAAACATCTCCATCACCACAGTGACCAGGGGGTTTGGGCTGCTGTGTCTGGACTTCTCAGACGGCGTCTGCAGTCTGTCTGAGACAACAGACGACCTACCGGCCATCTTTTCATTACCTGGATGTCAAGAAATTGGCTTTATTTTCTGCACACAAACCTGATAAACACCCACAGTGGTCAAAATAATGCTTGATTAGAACTCTGGGAGCATCAAAATAGTATATTATAGTTTTATATATCCTAAAGCCTGTTCAGTCTAATGGTCTTTATAATAATGCTTTTTATTGGACTAAATATAGTTATAAAGCATATACAGTGCCTTGCAAAAGTATTCATTCCCCTTGGCGTTTTTTCATATTTTGTTGCATTACAACCTGAAATTTAAATGGATTTTTATTTGGATTTCATGTAATGGACATACACAAAATAGTCCAAATTGGTGAAGTGAAAAAAAATTATAATAACTTGTTTCATAAAATTCAAAAAAATAAATAACGGAAAAGTGGTGCGTGCATATGTATTCACCCCCTTTGCTATGAAGCCCCTAAATAAGATCTGGTGCAACCAATTACCTTCAGAAGTCACATAATTAGTTAAATAAAGTCCACCTGTGTGCAATCTAAGTGTCACATGATCTCAATATATATACACCTGTTCTGAAAGGCCCCAGAGTCTGCAACACCACTAAGCAGAGGGCACCACCAAGCAAGCTGCACCATGAAGACCAAGGAGCTCTCCAAACAGGTCAGGGACAAAGTTGTGGAGAAGTACAGATCAGGGTTGGTTTATAAAAAAATATCAGAAACTTTTAACATCCCACGGAGCACCATTAAATCTATTATTAAAAAATGGAAAGAATATGGCACCACAACAAACTTGCCAAGAGAGGGCCGCCCACCAAAACTCACGGACCAGGCAAGGAGGGCATTAATCAGAGAGGCAACAAAGAGACCAAAGAGAACCCTGAAGGAGCTGCAAAGCTCCACAGCGGAGATTGGAGTATCTGTCCATAGGACCACTTTAAACCGCACACTCCACAGAGCTGGGCTTTACGGAAGAGTGGCCAGAAAAAAGCCATTGCTTAAAGAAAAAAATAAGCAAACACGTTTGGTGTTCGCCAAAAGGCATGTGGGAGACTCCCCAAACATATGGAAGAAGGTACTCTGGTCAGATGAGACTAAAATTGAGCTTTTTGGCCATCAAGGAAAACGCTATGTCTGGCGCAAACCCAACACCTCTCATTATCAATGATGGATGGCACTAAATACAGACATTTTTGAGGGAAACCTGTGTCAGTCTTCCAGAGATTTGAGACTGGGACGGAGGTTCACCTTCCAGCAGGACAATGACCCTAAGCATACTGCTAAAGCAACACTTGAGTGGTTTAAGGGGAAACATTTAAATGTTTTGGAATGGCCTAGTCAAAGCCCAGACCTCAATCCAATTGAGAATCTGTGGTATGACTTAAAGATTGCTGTACACCAGCGGAACCCATCCAACTTGAATCCAAGATGGCGTAGAAGTGCGGTTGTGTACTCAATCACACTTTTCATCCTTCAACTAAATATACTTTCTTGCAACCCGCCTCACCCAATGTGGAACGGATTATATTATTTATTTTACCTTTTTATCCAGAACCGCCAGTTGAAACTAGCCAGTTAGCCAGCTAACTAGCTAACTAGCTACTTGCTATTAGCCACCGTTAGCGGTTTTCACCATTGTCCGTGGCCTGCACTACCTACCAGCCAGCTCTAGCCTGGACTATTATCGGCCAGTCTGCACTGTCTGCACAGCACGCTATCGACCAAGAACATATCGGATTTTCTGCCGGAATCACTGGACCGTAACACCGGATCATCGCAACTAGCTAGCTGCAACCGAATGGATGTTGTTGGCTAATCACCACTGCCCCCGAAGCCAGCACCAGTTAGCCTTGAGCTAACCTCGAGCCAGGCCCATCTCCCAGCTATCTACCTCTCTGTCAACCGGACGAGACCTCCTACTGTTGACACGGAGCCCCGCCGATCCATCACGACTGGTCTGCCGACGTAATCGTCTGATGTGGTTTCAACAGGCTTCCCGCTGCGACGACCACGAAGATCCATCTGCTAGCCCCGGCCCGCTAGCACACGCAATCAACAGCTGTGCTTCCTACTCGCCTGTGCTGTAGCAGCCATTCGAACTGCTCCCGGTCTCACCTATTGCTGTTCACTGGACCTTATGATCACTCAGCTGCACAGCTGATGCCTGCTGGACTGTTCCTTTACACAGTACCCCCATCCTGTTTATCTGTTTAGCCTCGGCCCAAACTTTCGTCGCCATTACCAGTTGTTGTCTTAGCTCTCTCAAATAACACCTGTGATTGCTTTATGCCTCTCTCCCATGTCAATATGCCTTGCCTATTGCTGTTCCGGTTAGTTCTTATTATACAATTTCACTGTAGAGCCCCCAGTGCCGCTCAACCAGCCTCAAAGAGCTCCTTTGTCCCACCCCCCATCCACGCGGAGACCGGCTCAATCAGTGCCTCCAGTGATGTTATCTCTTTCATTGTTACCCAACGCTTAGGTTTACCTCCACTGTACTCATATCCTTCCATATCCTTGTCTGTACATAATGCCCTGAATCTATTGTACAACGCCCGGAAATCTGCCCCTTTTATTCTCTGTACCCAACGCACTAGAATACCAGTTCTTAAAGCCTTTAGCCGTATCCTTATTCTACTCCTCCTCTGTTCCTCTGGTGATGCAGAGGTTAACCCAGGCCCTGTAGCCCCCAGTATCATTCCTACTCCCCAGGCGCTATCATTTGTTGACCTCTGTAACCGCAAAAACCTTGGTTTTTTGCATGTTAACATCAGAAGCATCCTCCCTAAGTTTGAGTTACTCACTGCGTTAGCACACTCCGCCAACCCTGATGTTCTAGCAGTGTCTGAATCCTGGCTTAGGAAGACCACCAAAAACTCTGAAATGTCCATCCCCAACTACAACATTCTCCGTCTCGATAGAACTGCCGAAGGGGGCGGAGTTGCAATCTACTACAGAGCTCTATCATACTATCCAGGTCTGTGCCCAAACAGTTTGAGCTTCTACTTCTAAAAATCCACCTCTCCAGAAATAAGTCTATCACTGTTGCCGCTTGCTACAGACCCCCCTCAGTCCCCAGCTGTGCCCTGGACACCATATGTGAATTGATTGCCCCACATCTATCCTCAGAGTTCGTACTGCTTGGTGACCTAAACTGGGATATGCTTAACACCCTGGCCGTCCTACAATCTAACCTAGATGCCCTCAATCTCACACAAATTATCAAGGAACCTACCAGGTACAACCCTAAATCCGTAAACATGGGCACCCTCATAGATATCATCCTGACTAATTTACCCTCTAAATACACCTCCACTGTCTTCAACCAGGATCTCAGCGATCACTGCCTCATTGCCTGCGTCCGTAATGGGTCCGCGGTCAAATGACCACCCCTCATCACTGTCAAACGCTCCCTAAAACACTTCAGCGAGCAGGCCTTTCTAATTGACCTGGCCCGGGTATCCTGGATGGATATTGACCTCATTCCGTCAGTAGAGGATGCCTGGTTGTTCTTTAAAAGTGCTTTCCTCTCCATCTTAAATAAGCATGCCCCATTAAAAAAATTCAAAATTCAGAACAAAGAACAGATATAGCCCCCGGTTCACCCCAGACTTGACTGCCCTTGACCAGCACAAAAACATCCTGTGGCGTACTGCATTAGCATCGAACAGCCCCCGCGATATGCAACTTTTCAGAGAAGTCAGGAACCAATATACACAATCAGTTTGGAAAGCAAAGGCTAGCTTTTGCAAACAGAAAAGTGCATCCTGTAGCACTAACTCCAAAAAGTTTTGGGACACTGTAAAGTCCATGGAGAATAAGAGCACCTCCTCCCAGCTGCCCACTGCACTGAGGCTAGGAAACACTGTCACCACCGATAAATCTACGATAATCGAGAATTGCAATAAGCATTTTGCTACTGCTGCTACCCCTACCCCGGCCACCAGCTCTGCCCCCCCTGCTGCAACTTGCCCATGCCCCCCCCCCCCCCCCCGCTTCTCCTTCACCCAAATTCAGATAGCTGATGTTCTGAAAGAGCTGCAAAATCTGGACCCCTACAAATCAGCTGGGCTAGACAATCTGGACCCTTTCTTTCTAAAATTAGCCGCCGAAATTGTAGCAACCCCTATTACTAGCCTGTTCAACCTCTCTTTCGTATCATCTGAGATCCCCAGAGATTGGAAAGCTGCCGCGGTCATCCCCCTCTTCAAAGGGGGTGACACTCTAGATCCAAACTTTTACAGACCTATATCCATCCTGCCCTGCCTTTCGAAAGTATTTGAATGCCAAGTTAACAAACAGATTACCGTCCATTTCGAATCCCACCGTACCTTCTCCGCTATGCAATCTGGTTTCCGAGCTAGTCATGGGTGCACCTCAGCTACGCTAAAGGTCCTAAACGATATTATAACCGCGATCGATAAAAGACAGTACTGTGCAGCTGTTTTCATCGACCTGGCCAAGGCGTTCGACTCTGTCAATCACCGCATTCTCATTGGCAGACTAAATAGCCTTGGTTTCTCAAATGACTGCCTCACCTGGTTCACCAACTACTTCTCAGATAGAGTTCAATGTGTCAAATCGGAGGGCCTGATGTCTGGACCTCTGGCAGTCTCTATGGGGGTGCCACAGGGTTCAATTCTCGGGCCGACTCTATTTTCTGTGTACAGTGGGGGAAAAAAGTATTTAGTCAGCCACCAATTGTGCAAGTTCTCCCACTTAAAAAGATGAGAGAGGCCTGTAATGTTCATCATAGGTACACGTCAACTATGACAGACAAAATGAGGAAAAATAATCCAGAAAATCACATTGTAGGATTTTTAATGAATTTATTTGCAAATTATGGTGGAAAATAAGTATTTGGTCAATAACAAAAGTTTCTCAATACTTTGTTATATACCCTTTGTTGGCAATGACACAGGTCAAACGTTTTCTGTAAGTCTTCACAAGGTTTTCACACACTGTTGCTGGTATTTTGGCCCATTCCTCCATGCAGATCTCCTCTAGAGCAGTGATGTTTTGG